ATTTATTTATTTTAATTAATTATTCTATTACAAAATGTCTCTATTTATTTATTTTTATTTTTTTAAGAATAATATATGTTAATACATAAATTACTTCATAATTTCATAAATCCTTAATTTAAAAAAAATAAAATGCAATAGTTATTTTGGGACAAAAAAATATTAACTTTGTACAAGTAAAAATTAAAAAATTAATTTTAATTTCATAACTAATGTGATGCAGATTTTAATTAAATAATGATAATTACTAATAAAAAGATAAGGAAAATCTTTCATATTTAATTTATATTCTTATAACACATGTGGGAGAAATTTTTTTAACAATTCAAACGTAGAGAATTGACTCTTTGCACACTGTCCCTTTCGAATTTTTTTAATATAGATTTAGACAAAATGAACTTCAGAAAGAACATTTTCTTAATTAGGAAACTATTCAATTTGAATTTGTGAAACAAATTAGTAATGGATATATTCCACGCGGTAGGAAAATTTTATCAATTTATAAATAAATTTTAAACTGTAAATCAATAAAGAATATTAGTTACTCTATTAGTTATTAACTAACAACTATATTTATTCTCTTTCTTTTTTTTTGTAAAGTCAAGGATAAATTAGTTATATTTATTTATTAAAGAGTTATTTTCATGCCAGTTTTTACATCTCTTGAAATTAATACCTCATCATGAGATCTTAAGTATGCAACTCACATTAGTATGGTTATTCAAGAAAATTAGTTTTTTACCATCAATCATGTTATCTAATGATAAATTTATCTATACTCTTAATTGTAGGTTTAGAATTCAATTACTAATCTCTATGTAAAAAAGAAATTAATTTTTTTAGTGTTTATCTCAAAATTTAAACCTTAAACTTAACTTACAAGATGACATTTATTTATTTATAAATCAAATCCCTTTCCTAATAAATAAGAACTACATCTATTAATTACTTCTAACAACAAAACTAAATAGTCTCAACCAATTACCCACTTATAAGAAAGGATAAAACTGATGAGAGCAAAGTTTAAAAAAATATATATTTCCTTAAGTTGGGTGGGTAAAAAAATAATTTAACAAAACAAAAAATAAAATATTAATAACCTTAGCAATTTCTATAGTAACCATAATTAGAGCCACAATGAATTCTTTTCATAACTAGAGACGTAATTATTTTGACTTCCTTCACCTACTATTCGGATATTTTCCCGATTTAATTTGTTGTTTGCACTCAAACTCAATTACAACCTTTTAAGTTTGTGTGTTTTAAAAGCATTACAAAATGCTTGCACGATTTACCATCTATCTTAGATGTATGATCTTTTGCCACTTAAATAGAGTTGGTTGTCTCTTTTAGATTTCTCATCTTATTTATCTTCTAAGAAAAAATAATGGTCGTCATGTCAACTTAAAGGGTTAGTCAAAGTCAAAATTTATGTTCATCTAATAACTCATATGATATAGACTAGGCAAAATTCAATATTAAACTCGTAAATTTTTCTCATTTTCTTACATAAATTTTTAAAGAAAAAAGGTAACATATAAATCTCTAAATGTATGGATTTGAGTAAATTAACTATTGTATTAATGACAAAATTATGTGTGGTTATATACGTTAAACAATCATTTATTCTCGCTTTCGTGGCAATATCTCTAACACTTAGATATTGTTATGATAATTTTTTTACACTTAAATATATGTATTATATAACTCAAAAATTCTCAAATTTAAAAGTTAAATTATTAAAGATCATTCCACATAAGTATCTAAATGAAAAGGAATTGCCACCTTAATGAAAAAAAAAAAAAAAACTATTTAACTTATATGACCACGCCTGAATTTATTGTTAATATAAAGGCTAATTTACTCAAATATAAGCGTTTAGAAACTTGCAGGACACTTTTTTTAAAGGCTTATGTGAGAAAATGCGAGGAAAGTCTAAGGGGGTTTAACACTAGTTTTTGCCTATAATCTATGAATTCTTGAAAGTTAAAGCTCTAGCTATGGCTATTTTATGGAAAACAAAACAACCAATTAAGATGAGTAAGATTGGTGATAAAGTGTTTCTGTTACAATTTGCTGACAAACATAACCTACATCGAATTTTAAACAAGGCCCCTCGTGTTGAAACAGAAATCCTCTAGGTTGGGTCGTAGTTTGTGATAGTTCACCTGTGAATTTTGGTGATATGCAAAAGCTTGCGGACGTTTCTTAGAAAAAAATAAATAAAGCTCTAATGTTTAAATTAATGATAATTACAAAAATTTAACCCAAGTTTTTAGGCGCAAGTTAAATTTTATTTATTATAATATTTATTATTAATTTTATATAAATTTTTATATAAAATTTAAATAAAATATAATGTAAAATATAAAAATTATAATATAATATAATATTTTATTTCAAAATTTATAAAAAAATTATAAATTTGATATAAAAATTTATATAAAATTAATTAAAAATATTTTAATAATTAAATTTTAATTTATTCACTTAAAATAAATAAATAAATAAATTAATTAATTGTTAACTAACAAATATAAAAAGAGGCCTTGAGGGAGAATAATTACGGCGGCTGTGGGGTATTTATTGCCTTATTTATGGTATGGATGACGCATGAAATCTTCCTATTGCTACACTTGTGAGTAAACGTGTGGTCCTCTTTCCCATAACATTTTGTACCTATGTTCAGCTTTGGGCCGTAAGCCCATAACAAAGTGTTGGGCTACGATCCCAACACCTTAAAATTTTAGCAACTCACCAGTCGTACTCTTATTCTGAAAAGGTTTCTGCAACGCACCTTAGCTTCAGAGCAATTTTTTTTTTATTTGTTTGTTTTATAACGAGATATAATTTTCTCCTATCCCTTATCTTACTTACTTATATGTCATGCGACTCAAATTCAGAATCTCTTATTTTTAATGAAAGGAAATTACCACTTAATTACTTAAGTCGTTGATAACTTTAGAGCAATTTGAACTTGCAACTAAATTATTTTAGTTCCAAGTTCACAATCAACCCATGGGTTTTGTTTGCAAACAGAAAAGGAGGATTTCATGGTAGGTGGCGAATTGGGCAAGATGCTTGTCCTACCCGAGACTAGGAGCAAACAACTGCCGTACCCACTTGAAGAAGTACAAAGCTGAGAAATTGTTTATTACATTATGTAAAATTCATAATTCTTAAAAAAAATTCACTAAAATTCATTATAAATATAATATCTCAAAAAATCTATAAAATTAGATAGTATCCCTAACTAAATCAAATTACGCATAAAATTCAATATCAATTAAATCATCTAGATATCCATGTCTAAAAATCTAAAATAACCAATATCAATCAAGTAATGAACAAACTATTCAATTAGCATGTCACTAGCCCTACTCCTCAAGCATCTCTAGTCTCATTATCTAAAATTATGGATAGGAAAAACGTGAAATATATTCAATAAGTAAAACATTAAAAGCCTCATTTATTTTTAGTAAAGCATGTCGATCAATAATTTCACATATAAGAAAGGTATTTACTTACATATAAATCTTACACACATCCCCTACTCATATATATATATATATAAAGGGGCCCTTCCTCATCTAAGAGTTCCTACTTTACAATTCGGATTTTAAAAAATGCAAATACTTATATATGAAGAGAAATTTATTTATATACAAGTTTTACACATTATATTTATATAAAATTTTAACCAATCATCTTTTCACTTTTTATGGTTAAGATTTATCACTGATTTTAGATTAAAAATATAACCATCTTTAATAAATATGATAAAAACTGAATAAATCTCAATCATTAAAAGTGAAAAAATGATTGGTTAAGATTTTATATAAGTTTAATATGTAAAATTTATGTGTAAATAAATTTCTATTTTATAAAAGGAAAAACACTCACATAAGTCAATAATAATTATAGTTATATTTAACACATTACACAAAAATCCCTACACCTGTACATGAGACTAGCTAGGTAGCAGCTAACTGTTGGATTTCAATAGTTAAAACTCAAGAACGACTAAATATGATTTGTGTATTGAAATGATCTTGGATTAATTTTGATTTGCAATGGATTCTTCATTGCTATTTTGAACTCATGTTTCTCAGATAAGTCCACAACAACACCTTCTGGTGTAGTCCAGTCAAAGCACTATGCTAAGTTTGCCACAAAGTACTCCAGATGAAGCATTGCCATGTCATATGCTGGGCACATCCTCCTTCCTATTCCAAAAGGCATCATCTTATTAATCTATCTTCTCTCAATAATGTCAACCATTTGTCCATTTTCATTGCCATTTAAGAATCTAGCCGGCTGGAATTCCATTAGATTTTCCCAAATTGTTGGGTCTTGTCCAATTTCCGCCACCATGAAATTTACCATACTGCTTTTAGGCACTGAAAACCCAT